ATTTTTATTGCGTTATTTGTGTTAATAAAGGTCGTGGTTTAATATCCAACAATTTATGAAAACAAATTTGTTTGTTTGTTTTTTATATGTTAAAAATATAATGCACTTACAAACTGTATGAAATTTTTAATTTAAATTATATTTTAATTAATATTTAATAAATCTTAAATATTAAATCGAAGAGTTTTAATAAATTTTCTATAAAATTTTTCTAAAATTATTATTCATCTAACAATATAAAAATTTCAAATATATTTATTTCATTTCATTAAAATATATCACGAAATTAGACTCCAGCACAAAATCTAATTATTTATCGAATGAACATAAATGAAATGAATTAAAATCATGTAAAAAAAAATTTTTATCTCATTCGTTTATTTAACAAACTAATTCATTTGTATTTTGTAATTACTTATCAATACAAACATTTTTATTAATTAATAAAATAAGTGTAGACATTAGCAAATTAATATACTTTTTCATCAACAGATTTTCTCTTTTTTTAATTTAANGCCATTCATCGCCACCACAGATTTTCTCTTTTTTTAATTTAATTTGATTCTTTTATTGAGTGTAATTAAAAACTTAATAACTTATTTAAAATAATAACTGCGGTTACGTATATGTATTCGATTTCTTTACTAATTTTAAGTGTAATCATAGGAAGCCATTATTCAGTATTTACAAAAAAATCAATTCAAAACCGATGAAGATAATTAATATACATTAGTACTGTACTAACAAGGATCGTTAATTGTAATCGATCGAAATTAATTTTCCTGTTATATATAATTAACAGAGATTTGATTACGTGTCTTCGTCAGTTACAAAAGATTCGTCTGAGCATCTCTTCACAATTTTTTTAATTATTAAAATATTTTTACAAATAAGTAAATAAAGTATATTTTTTAAATCACGAAAATAGTCATATAATTCTATTTTATAAAGAAAACAATGATTATATCTTATAAAATCTTTTAATAAGATGCTTAAATAAGATTCAAATTCAATGCTCATTACTTAAATAATTTAATTCAGATTAAACAAACTAAACTGGAAAATAATTCATAAATTAGGCATGAAAGTTAATATAATTTTTATTTGAAAAGATGCGTGTAGTTAGTCAAAATTAAAGCATCTATTGATACAACATACTGTAGACACTTTTATTTATTTATAAAATTGGAGAATTAAAGCATGTAATTTTTATTATTTTATGAAGAAATAAATAAAATTTACTAAATGTTTCATTATGCAAATTAATTCTGAAGTATATGAAATTATTTTAGTATCGATCGACAGAGACAATTACTATCCTAAGGGCAAATATGATTAATATAAAAACAAGACTGGTAGTTTATAAATATCTACCTGTGTATGATCTTTTAGTATATATAGAATGAATTATTTTCTACATGTAATATTATTATAATGATATTTAGAATTCTATATTTTTGAAGGTAATAGGAAATTTCATTCAATCGAAGGAAGTTTTTATAATAGATTATGCAGTATTTCATATCCTTGATGGATTCATTGTTGAATTCTGATTGTAATAGAATAAAAGCTTTCTAATATCTCGAAAATGAATTTATCATGCATATAATTTATCATATTCAGCCTAAGCTAATAATAATAAACATTTCATGTAGCATAACATCATAGTGCATAGAAAATGAATCCATTAATTTTATATTATTAATATAAATCTCTGGATTATTTTCAAAAGAATAATAGAAAATTTTATTGCACATTATCAAATCATTCTTGTAATTTCTCTAAACAAAAATTTGTCATTTTGTAAATATTTTGTTTAAAATTTTCTTCAAAATATATAATAGATAATTCAAAGTAAAATTATTGTATCCTTATGCCCTTACATTCATACAATATAATAATACATTAGACAGTTAATGTTAAACAAAAGTCAACACCATAATGTTATTCTCACATAAATGATACATTAGAATTAATTTGTAATTCTAATTATTTTGTCTTTGAATTTACAGTTACTACAAATAACCTATAGATTCTCTTTTATCCTCTTTGGTAGCAAAAGTTGTGATGCGTGAATTAGAAGCTAATTTATTCAAAAGACTACTCACAATATAACTTCTCTTACTTTACTTTGAGATATATTGTTGTTCTTTTAGCTTGGGAAGAGTTGGATTAATTATTATTTAACTCGTTTTATTCGTTCATAATTCAATTTTTGAAGTAATCAAATTTACAACAGAAAAAGTGATTGAAGATATATTTAAAATACTTTGAAATTACAGATAATGCGTGAATCTAATAATTTTCATCATTATGGGTTGTGCCATAAACCGCATTCTAATGCCATACGTTTAAAAATTCATACTAGCATTAGAGTTTTCTCTAAGTAAATTTAATTATTTATTTAAAAGTAATAAAATCAAACGTAAAATTTTTCTCTGGATGTTCCTAGTTCTGTTAGTAACTAAATTATTTTCCATTTTCTTTGCCTTTTTTTTTAAAAAAAAATCTAAGTTTGGATAGTGAAACATATTCATTGGTCAGACTTAATTATTCTTCGTTGAGAATTTTGATCAATGATAAAAGATATTTTGATAGTTTTAGATCTGACAGTAATATAAAATGCCCTTAAATCCACAAGATTTTGATACATTTTACATAAAAGCAATAATAAAAAGTATTTCTATCGCATTAGAGAACATAAAACTGATATTTTTAAGAATAGATGTCCACCGAATTATCAAGCTGTCTCTGACTACAATGGAATATAGCTTTTATTTTCGTATCCAAAAGAAATCCCAAATATTTATTACCGTTTCTGGAAATTTTATTATGGCACGTTTGCAATAATATTACAGATAAATTAACTGACGTTTGATGTAAATTCTATCATCATCTATTCAATCCAATTTTCTTTTTACATCGATGATTAATTTATATCTTACATACTATTTTAGATGTAACAATCCATTTTAATTAGTAAATTAATGTGTTTTTTCTATATTCAATTATCAATTATTTAATAACTAATAATTTTTTTCGTAATTGTGTTAATTATAAATATCTTTATAATTTTTTTTGAAGTCAATTGTTTAAAATTTGAATAATTTGTATTAGAAATATACTAACATTTTTATTCCTTATAAATCGTAAAAGGCTTGAACTGTATTCAAGCTTGTTTTATTAAATTATTTATTATAATTTTATTAATATCAATAGAAATATTATATTTTATAAACATTTTTAATACGCTTCTCATCTAATTTTCTGAATAATTTTGTATATAAAAGGTGTGTCAAGTGATTTTAATATTTATTGAGATGATACAGAAATCTATAGGCATTTCATTTCTCTTTTCATATTATTCGATGAAATTGTCCGGAAGAAGAAATTAATTTTTTCTCTAGTTTTTTTTTATTGCACTTTAACGGAATTATTTCCACTTTAAATATTAAATTTCTGAACTAATTTAGATATTATCCTAAAAAATTTCTAAATTGTTTATGCAATAAGACAATAGACATTAAAACCTTACAATATATTTTATGAAAAATTTAAAATTAAATTTATAAAGCTGGTAAAACATCTCAATATCAAATATACAAAATATTAAGGATGTGATAGAATAATAAAATTTCTAATAGTAATATTTAGTTATTTATATATAATATTCAAGAAATCCAAAATGCATATATCAAAGTATTCAGTAAACACACGAATTATTGTATTTATATTTAATAGTAACTAATATTTCAAGAATTTATATACTATATTACGTAGAGTTTATGAAAAATTTATATTTGAGTGATATTCAGGAATAATTTTCTTTCTTTCTTTTTCAAATTTTATAATTATTGATTTTATGGTAACTATTTATTGATATGTTTGTAATAAAAAATAAATAGATTCTTCATAATAGAAAGAACAGAATATGATAATTTAGTTAACTCATCTTGGGCTTCTTTTGGACTTCAAGATTTTCATCAATGTGTATAATCCATCACTAATAAAAATGGAATTAGAACATCTCCAAATTTATTACTGTCTCAAATTGTGAAGTTGAATCTGTTATATTTTTTATGATTGAATTGCTGGATTGTTTAATTAATATCAAAATACTGTATGTACCCTACTGGGATCTTCTCTCTTCTTTTTCGTTCCCTCAGTTTCTTCCTTTCCTTAGCTTAAATCATTGAGTAGGCTCTACCCTAATAATGATATAAAAATATGAAAATGATTATTACAAACGATATTTTAATCATCATAAATCTAGAAATAATTTATTAATAAAACGTATTTTGAAATTTGATATTCGAGTTAAATATTTTCTGATAATTATTTGATAAAGTTTGTAATTTTTATTAATTAATCAATTCTATTTTAATGTTAAATTATTGAAATTGTTCTAAACAAACGTGAATTCTAAATGTTTGAAATTCTATTATGTAAATCCAGTTTATAATTAAAATATATTTATGATATTAATTTTAGGTTTTTTTTTGTTTTTTAAACCGAGGAGAAGATTTAAAACTAATCTTTATTTATTTTTATATAACTATAATTTACTAATCGAGACTTTAATTATTATTAATAAAGTTGCTAGTTTATTACTAAATTACGAACTTGATTCTCTGTGGAGTTATATATGGATCTCTGAGATCAAAATTGCAGTTCTCTTGGGTAATGAGACTTGAGATCTCAGTTAAACTATTCTTGCTGATGATAATTTCTTGATATGATAGAAGTATCTGAATAAATATTAATGAAACTTCTACTTGATACTGTTTTATTTATTTTATTATAATTGCAATGTGTTGATCGATGCTTTAATTTTGACAAAAATAATATATAAATATACTTCTATAATTATCTTTAAATTGTATTTTTGGAAATAAATATGTTTTACCACGAAAAAAAAAAAAACATATCCAAATTTAAAAAGAAAAATATTTTATAATGTATAACTTAATTTACTTTTAAGTTTATATATCTAATTACAGGTACCCCATTAGGTGGAAAATGCAATACACTTCCCATACCAAGTACAAATCGTCAAATGGCCCTTATTTCTGGTGGAATGGGAGGAAGTACATCGTCAGCAGGTGGAGACTCTCACCCTTCCATGTCTCAACAAACATCTGTAGATAGTACAGATTGCCGTATTTATCTGACATCTTCCGAGGTAAGAATCATAATATTACTTCTACCAGTTTAAAGTTTTAGTTATAATAGTTATCAAGTTTCCCTCTCGTATAAGAAAGTAATGAAAAGTTATCTCAAATTTTAAATTGAAAGGAATTTTCTATTCATTCAATTCGTTCTATTGACGGATATATTTAAATCTGAACTATATCTTTAATAATGAAAAAAATAAATCGTATAATCTTTTATAAAAGAACTTTACCATGTAATATATCAGGATTCAAATTTTATTATTCAGGTATCCGAAACTAGATTATTTTCTATCATAGATTCAATTTGATTTGAATAGTGATAATTATAATTCGAATTTCGCATGAACTTAAAATTAAAATTAAAAAAATATTCTCAGAATTTTTCTACTTAAACACATTTTTATATTCTTGATGAACATCGGTAACATTAATCAAAGAGAAGTTTTTAGTCATTTCTTCTGAAACATCTGTTCATTTTCGGTTGGAATATTTTATATTTTAACACTAAAGAATCCGTTTTCTTCCTTACTTAGTATTGTATAAGTTTCCTAGCTATTATATATTAGACTTTGTGTGTCTTTATTTTAAATTTTACTAATTGATTATTGATAGTTTTAAAATTATATAAGATTTTATATATCCTACTTCTTCTATATTTAAATTTCTTAATTACTTTCAGTAATAAATTGAACATGATTATGTATAATTAATATCAAGAACTAAACAAGAAATGAATTGAATTACTACCACCAAATCAATAAACTAATATTTTAGTACACGTATTTCATTATATTCATTTATCATTACAATATCAGAAATCTCTTTTGTAAATATTTTAAGTTAATGTTTGATGTAGAATGATTTCAATAATTGAAATTATTATAAGGAAATTGTATGAAATTTTGAATGAAATTAATTATTGTACGGGTAGTTTTCAGGAAGTAATTTCAACGTTTCAGTAATAATACATTTTAAATTGAAGAATTGAAATGGTAAATTAATAGGCCTATATATATATATTTTTTATTATATATTCAATTAAGTTTATTTCTAACTTTGTTTATTGTTACAGTAATATAAAAATAACTTTGCTCACAATTAACTTTAATATTAACAATAATATATTTTATAAATTATTTTAATAATAAAAATAAATGTTATGAGTTTATTTTTATATTGCCGAAACACGATTTAATTTATCATTATTGTATTTAAAAATTTCGGATTGAGGAAATTTAATAAAATCCCATTAATTTCTATTCTTTACTTTGAAACGATTGGATTAAGTAATTACGTGCTGGTATTGTTTAATACATCGGTGATTTAGTTTGTTTTTCTACATTTTGATTTATTTTTTAAATTTGTAATAAAGGAGTTTAGGCAAGATTTAATCGAATTATAGACAATTATTCAGTATATATACATATATTTATTATTATTAATTAACATAAAGTTTAACTATTGAAGTAAAAAAGGGGCTTAATTATATAAAACATATATTTTTAGTTTTATTCACTTTATGCATATTAAATTATATGGCAATAGCGAAACTTCGATTCTAATGATAAATCTCAATTTCTTTTTTTAAACTAAACGTCATAGAATGGCTATTTCGCTAATCGACTGTATCAAATGATGGAATCGATTGGCGAAATGTTGGGATTTTTCTTAAAAATTGATAGATAGGTTTTCTTTATAAAAATCTAAAAATGCCAAACTTTTTACACTAGTGTTTGTGATTTCAAAAGTTTTACGATAAAAAGTTTATTTCGTGATATAATTTGATTCCTCGAAGAATTTCAATTTTACAGATGATATCGTATATTCAAATTTCAACGTAAAGGAAATTATACTTGCTAAAAATAATATTAAAAAAAGTCTTAAAAACTTCTACTGTTTTTTTATAATTAAAAGAGAATTAAAATAGATAAATAATATTTGCAATATGAATAAAAATCGGTCAATAATTATCGTCATATTTTTAATGTTTTTATTAATTATAAAAAAATTTTCTTGTGTTTATATGAAAATTTATTTGTTCAAATTGTATGATCTTCATTTGTTGTATTTATGTTTACAGTAGAATATATTCTAATTTTTCAAATGATTGAATTACTGTACTTATATAGCCATTAATTTATACGACTTTTTTAGTATTTCCTGTTTAAATTACTTTTTTATTATTCACTTTCGTGCCTGTTACACTTTATTCTTACCTATTTGATAATTCTATATTAATGTCATAGCTTTTGCTGTTCTTGCTGTTTTTTTATTTTTGATTAGAGTTTTTTTTTCTAAATTTAATTTAGTTCTTTTGTAATGTAAATACATTAGTATCGTACTGTACGTTTATTACAGTATAAGAAGTTTTGCTCTATTAAATCTAAAACACTAAGTAAACCAAATTCCGGCTATAATTTCTGTAAGATTTATTGAATAACTTTATATTTCTTACAGTTAGTTCTGTGCTTCGATCGTTTCATAATTTTACTTTTAATCCTGTACAGAAACCTGTACAGATACTGTACAGGTGTATGTTTAGTGACGTGTAGTGCATCGTGTAATGAATATTATAAAAATTATTACGTATACGTCTATATTTGAAATTAATCTGTTATATCATAAAAGCACAGCTATATCAAAAATATATAGTAGAGTTAATTGAAATGTTTACATGAATTACCTATGACTCAATAATTTTATAATACATGTAACTAGCGTACCTATTGAAAATACCGAAGAGTGTGCGCTCTTTCTATGATACTATACTAGCCTAATACATCACGAAAAGAGGTATAATGAAAAGTCTTTAACTCTATTGTTAAAGAGTACTGATACACCGGACTCTTATCTTCCCAATGTAAAATATATTAAATAAAATAAAAATTAATTTATCTGCAGGAAGAACGTTGGCCTATTAATCTAGGTTTCAGCAACAGTATTGTCTGCATCCGTTTAAATGTGCTTTCTTGTTGATAGCGGTAAAAGGAATAACTCTTCCTCTACTTTCTTAATATTTCTCTGCTCTTTTAAGAATGTTACCATAATCTTGAAAAATTGTGTATGGATGTTCAACTCTTTTACAACAGTAACACTAAAAATACTTCAATCCCAGGCTTGAGAATATCTACACTTACTTCAAACATTTATTTGTTTCAATTATGTTTATAACTTTGATAAGATATAAGTTTTATCTATTACTAATTCGACTTTCCAACTTTCATTTTGGATATTTAGTGTACTGTACACTTCAGAATATAAATGATAGCATTAACTATGTCTGAAAGTTTTTCGCCACTGAGATTTTAAGATTTGAATTTGCACTAATTCATTTATATTAATTTTTATTCATAAAATTACAGTATTTTTTCATTAATTTATTGTTATTATTTTGAATTTTTGCGCCCCAAACTCTTGCGCTCTTATCCTGGATTTAGTGGACCTAATGTGAAATCTGCCACTGGTTTAAATGTTACTTTCTTCAGTGGAACAAACATTTTTGGTCGTCATTTTCTGAAGAAAGCATATGATTTGACGAATGACAAAATTCTTTAATCTTCGATAAATCCAAATAAATATTTAATTTGTTGCATTAAAATATATAATTTTTTTTTCGTGTTTTATAGCGATATTTAGCGGATCAAGAAACACAAATTACATTATTTTACAGCGATTTGTTGTTATAATGAGAGTTTATTAAAAAAAAAATTACCCCATCCTTATTTAACAATGTCAAAACAAAATAACATGTAGTGTTATTAAACTCCTTAGCACAAGATTTAAGTGATTTTATTGCATATTATTTTTACATTAAATGTTAAACATCAAAATCCAAACTTGAATCTTCCTAGACAAAAATGAACTAAATAAAACAAATTAATTTTAAATTATAATTGCAGCTCACTAGTGGCCGAGTAGATAAAACTACTAAACATTAGTAGTTGGTCGTGGATTTGTTCTTTGCCAACGTGGAGTTTTCCAGGTTTTCTTCACGTTAGTAACACCTAAATAGGACTCAGTTTTCCATAAAAAAAAACCACCCGGGAGGTTGCCGCATACGAATAAAAGCTAAACCTAAAATGTAATTTCTTAAAGAGAATGCTTTTTGTAATTATTTTTAATAAGTGTAATTTGCAATACTAAGACAAGCAGTAAGAATGTTTCCTAGAAACTATATAGGGATGGTTTAGTGTTGTAAATTCAAAAGTAAAAGTTACAATTACTTTTAACTGGTAAGATCAGGTTATGGCAGATTCGTGTACAGATTTACCATAATTTATAATTTCTTGAAAAATCTATAAATGATAGATTACAGTCAAGAAAATGCCCCCAAAAAAAGCGCTAAATTGCTCTAGAAAAAATATTAAAACTGATTTATTTCGTCGTTCAAATGTTATGAAGAAAGTTTGCTGAAAAGGTAAACAATATAAAAATGATAATTAATTTTTAGAGCTAACTTTAGGCTCTAAAATACCAAAACAACTAAATCTGTCTCTCGTTTTATTAATGCCCCTATTGAGTGCAAGTAACGTTCATGGTAAAATCGCTATATTAAGGGAATAGGGCCTACCAAATTTTATCGAAAAGGAAAATACTGTGTATTCTACGAGAGGAATGCAGTAAAAAAAAAAATGTATCGCTAAATAGAGATTTATCGCAGTAGAAGATATCGTTCAATCGAGAGAAGTTTACATTAAGTTAATACGAATTGCTTAGGGAACTACTGTATATTTTTTATCATTATGGAGGGATTTATCGTTATATCGATAACCGCCGTGCCAAGATTTGACCGTATATTCTGTTTATTGAGATTATTTTAAAAGAAAAGAAAAATTAATTGCATTGGCAGAAAAAAATTAAAAAAAAATTATATTCTCGTTAGCAAAAGATAAAGAACATTAATTAGCATTAAAATCTTTCTATAAGTATATAATTTATGTAATCGTTTATAATGCAAAAAAACTTTTAATGATAATAATCTCAATCCATTTTACTACATTAAGACGAA